CACAAGGCTGAAGAGGAGGAATCCATTCTGATTTCTGAAGTGCTCAGTCATCATGGTGTGTGTCAGATCTATAAACTTGTGTCAAGTACTTGCCTCAACCTTGATAGCACAGCGGCCAATAGCTCGCACAGCCTTGCGGACAAAGTCAACATCCACCTCGGTAGCGTACTCCTTGAGTTCCGCCAGGACCTGTCGGGAAAACCATCACACGAAACATGAGACATCTGTGCCACACAGTCGGGCTAACAGCCCCATTGGCCACCCCTCCAGTCAGGTACCTGAAAATTAAGTGTTGCTACCGAACCCCAGAGCATAGAGAGATTTAAACATGCTGGGATCCAAGTGTTTAGTTAATTTACACCATGCCCATCCAGACAGACACACATACAATACTACCAGTAACACCAAAACCAGTCTCTGCAGCCATTAACATATGCAGCAGGACCAGCTTGGAGGAGAAAGATAATTCAGCAGGGGCCTATGGGCAGAAGAGGAAATAACGTCAAAGATTATTCTCAAATTGCCCATACCAATCCCTTGGCAGCAAAACCTGCTCTTTGGGCTATGGAATCACTGCTTTGGGGTGGCGGGGCGGGGCTTTAAGGAGGTACAGGAAGAGATGGTAGGTGAGAAGTAGGGCTTTGGATATTTCCCAGCATACAGAGTACTTTTCTTCTCCAGTGCTGCCCATCCCTATCTATTGACTCTGAGTACCCTGGGAGACACCAGCAATCCCGTATGGAGAACCTATCACCACCTGCTATGCAGACAAGAGTGTTTCTTTAGATACAAAAAGTTGCATTTAAAATAAACTTTACTCCTTGCGCCTGGGCTGCTATTCAACAGGTGCAAGAGTTCTCTCCAGGAACTGCCAGGATCTTAGAAGACGCTGGAGGATCATCTGGTTTAGAAACAGCTCTGCCCAAAGCAAGCCACCTGGTTATTTCTTTAAGGAGCCCAATGAGGGTTGTAAGTGAGAAAACCAGCACGAAACAGGAGACTTGTGTGAAGAACCTGGACTCACTGCTCTGGCAGTGCAAGAAGGCCTTTAAGTGGGTGAAGAGGAAAACCCACACAGCAGAGGCAAGGTGTGGGCAGAGCAGCTAAGCTCTGCAGTTTTAATATTTCAGTGGATGCTATTTTATATACGGCTGCACCACATGACAAACACATTGGCGTCAACAGCTGCATAAGCAGTGACTTACGCAGAGCTTTCCCCTGCAAAGTGCTGTACAAACATCAGCTGCTTCTCAACACACCGAGGTAGCAAATATCTCCATTTCACAAATGAGAATCTGAGGCACAGATTAAGTGTCTCCCCCCAGATGGAAACAACAGGTACAGTCTCAGTAGGTTCCACGTTAGGCCACTGGGTTTTGCCAGTTTTATAAACACAACTTTAGAACTAGGAAGGTGATGTGAGTTCCAGGTTCTCATCTTTGATCTTAGACCTCTGGACTCGGCTTCCCTTGACAACCCACTGCACTAGCAGAAGGCCCTTCAAAATGTAATGGGAAATCTGCAGAATGAAATCCAAGAGCTGGGCGACACGTATATATTCCTGGTTTTCAACAGATTTGCCATGCCCAGCAGATCAGCGATTTGGCACTGCCTTGCTCTGTCACTTCGCATAAGGAGCAACCCAAACAGGTATTTTAAAGATGCCACGACACATGACTATTTAGTTATAAGTAGGACAGGAAGGCACAGCAACAGTAACAGGAATCACTCTGTTAAAGAGGAGACAGGGTGTGGTTTCCAGCACTAGGAGTGAAGGCATAAACCAGGGGTGGGGAACCTCAGGCCCAGGGGCCAAATGCAGCCTTTGACTTGCCTGGATCCAGCCCCCAAGGCTTTGGGGCTCTCCCCCAGCATTGGGGAGTTTACACTCCCACTGTGGGGCTGGAGCTCACAAAATCTACTAGCCTGGGCCCTCAGACTCTGGTATGCGAAAGAACATGGGGAAGGTCTTTCTGCTTCTCAGTTGGGGGCCACGTCAGTGAGGAATTGGTTTTCCTTTTTTGCTTTTCAGTTGTGCGCAGCCTCCGACTGATTTGTCTATGTGCTAGTGGCTCCTGACCCAAAAGAGGGCCCCCTCCAACCCCGCCAGCATAAAATTTCAGACACTAGGATGACAGGACAGAAGCAGCACAGAACGGGAAGATGTACAGAGTAGTCCAGACAACACACATTCCAACTTTGACCCTGCCACCAACTCATATGGCAACTTACTTCAGCTCTGTTTGTTTCTACAATTCTGAGCTGTAAAACCTAACCCCCTACCTAACAAGGATGCTGTGAGGTTTGTACAACACTACCAACATGCAAAGCACTGAGGAATTTCCGTCCCCTCTATTAAGTAAGAGTGCCCCCTGTGCCAGAGCGAACACAGATCGCTGCTAGGTATTGTACCACTGTGCAGAGAATACGTTGAGAAGTATTGTTTGTGCACATGCATCCTGGAGCCGGCACATACCCGCCAACTGCGATCACATCACAGCCAGAGTGACTGACCTGGGCAATGTTTGCCTGGGATGCCAGGCGGATCATGATGTCCAGCTTCTCCAGTTTGACGTAGATGGGGTCGTTGTACTTCACAAAGAATACCTTGATTTCTTGCTTCAAGATTTCCGGCCTGCGAAACACACACACAGGCATACAAGAATCACCCACACTTGTGACACAAGGGCTTTCCATTTCAATAAAGATGGCCTGATTTTTAGATTAACCTAACGCTGACAATACACATATATCAGCCCTGAGCAGTGATTTGCACACAAATGTGGCAGAACCGTGGTTTAAATGACAGTGCATCTTTTACCTCTAGTCTGATTTTTTAAACTGCTAGGTTCAAGCCACCTTAACTCTGCCTGTATCCCTATCTGCCCTCCACCCATTCATAGCTCCCTCCCAACACATGCCACTTACACAACCAGATCCTCTCCTTCAGTGGCTACACATCAGCATCTAGCCCCTCTCCCCAAATACACCAACTCCACACTCATCCCATTTTTTCAACATCATCAAGACATGAGAACCAAATGTCAATCCCCTTCTTCCAGCTTAGACAGAGTGGGGGAAAGGGTTGTCTTGTGTTTCTAGAGCAGGGAGTGGGGACAAAAGGAATGTGTCCCCCTTCCCCAAGATATCTTGCTGGCTGCAGAAACGTGACAGTGATGCCGGTAGAGTGAATCAGCTGTAAAAACAGTCAATGACGCCAGCCAACAACTGTGTGTTCAAAGACACAGGAAACAAGACTAGTCAAGCAACTCCTCAGCCAGAACCAGAGTTGGGTCCTCAAAATGAGCATGCCTGGAGGCAGAGAAACTTTGGAATGGATTAACTCTGCCAATCCCCAGCCCGCATCCTGAGAGCAGTGCTTGGGCCATACCTTTTCTGCACAATCAAGTTGATGTTCCTCAGGGCAACATACTGAACTTCAGGCTCTCCAGAGAGCAGCGTGACGAGTGGGGGGGCTAGTTTCTTCAGCAGCATACTGTAATAGTCGGACTCCTTGGGCAAGAGCTCCAGGAACTTCATCAAGACTTTCACTGCTGAAAGCACCACGGCCGAGTTGGCGTGAGACAGCCGGGGAGTCACCCGCTCACAGATGCTAGAGACAGAAAAGACTGACAATGAATTTCTCCCATAAGAGCTCTGCTGACTGTGGGTCCCATCGGGCACACAACAGGACCTAGGAGCCCAGGGTTGGCAAGTAACCCCTGGTAACCAGAAGTCAGGAACTGCATTTATAGTACCTTCAGCTCCCCACCCCAACTTGCAGAGAGGGAGTGGGGCAGGGTCAGAGCTATTCAGCAGGCAGCCCTGTTTGGGTAAAGCTAGGAGTGCACAGACCTGGGGCTGAGAGAACTCTCTAGGTTCCCAGAGCTCATTAAGAGCTGACTCACCACAAGGAAATCTTAGAACATCAAGAACGAGGGGAAAATTCAGTAAAACAGCCTACAGATTTTCTCTGAAGGGGATTATCTGTTCTGCCTCAACAATGCAGGCACAGAAGAAACCCAGCATATTCAATGAGGCTTGCACAGGATTTAAAATACACTAGGCTTGTGCCCTTTTTAGCTTCTTTATGAAGGACACAAAGAATTTTTTTTGAGAGACACACAATGCTTGTTTCTGCTTGTTTCCCTCACAATATGATGGATGAAGAGGTTGGACTTTCCTGGTTTTGGTGGAGGACTGGAGAACGTGAGGGGATGGGGAGGGGATGAATATGACACACGCTCTTCTTCTCATGAAGCTAGACATTGAAGTTAAAGAGGCATTATCAAAACCAGTGCATTTTAAGCAGTGATCGAAACCCATTTCATTCCTCAATTTTATCTTCGGTCCTGGGATGCCATAAGTTAGACTAGTTTTCTTGGCACCATAGAATTTTCCAGCCTATGGAAAAAACAAGGAGCTTTATACAACAAAACAAGTCCTTCAGACCCTCCTTTACATGAAAAGAGCAGAAAGGCATGGGGAGAGGGGGGATTTTTTAATATGTCTCCTTTAAGTGGCATTGTGCTATCAGCTTGTGCTGTGGTTAAGTGGATGCACCAATTGCCACCACACCACAGGGCTTGACTGACCCCACTGCTGGATCCATGGATTGCTACGAAGAGCCAAGCCCTGTAGGGGTCTGGGAAACGCAGAGCGGTGGGGTCTGTGCAGTGTGGCAGCAGTTCGCAGTGGATTCTCCCGTGTGAAATACCTGGAATAGCTGACCCTCGTGGCTTTTCAGACTACTTTATTGGAAGCCTGGCTCTGCTATCGTAGGCTTATTCCATTAAGCTGCTACCCTCAGAGAGGTGCTGGCCATACAGAAGGCCCACTGGCCAAGCGCGAAGGCAGTGAGCCCCTGCACATACCTCTGAGCCTCGCGGTCGTCCTTGGGGTTGTAGTTAGACAGGCAGTCCAAGATGAAGATCTGGCCCCATTCGGTGCACTCGTTCAGGGCAGTCAGTAGCTTGTTAATGTTCTGAGGGTTCAGATCCAGCAAGTTACTGTTGGGATGCGACTCGCTGATCTCTGACAAGGCTGCCACAGCATTAGCCACCACCTAGGCGAGGGAGAGGAGAGAGGCATTCCCGGTTAGTGCATCGCTCAGGACCCAGGGGATTAGCTGGACACAGAGCAGGTTATGCAGCTGGCGTGCGATGGAGACTTCGCCTTGATATCATGACCCACAAGGAGCAGCTGTCACCAAACCTCGTTGAGACCCGCGTTAATCTGTCAGAGCAGCGGCAGCTCATGGGAGAGCCAAAGTTTCACTGCTGTCTTGCAATGGATTGGGCTGCCCAAAGCAGTAGTCCCTCCTAAAACACTCTGGGCATCTGGAGGGGAGAAGACACCCCAGCATTGCTGTTAGGAGGCCATGGCTGATAAAGCATAGGACCAATTGAGGGCCACAGCAGAGCCTCCCATCTCCTCCCCCACATGCTGCAGGTGGCAATGTGGGAACCAGTGTGTGCCGGGAGCCAGCTCTTAAGCCAGCTAGCCACGTAGAAGGGCTCCCACAGAGCTGCCACACCCCACCGCTGCTTCTGATACAGAGAAGCCTCCTGTCCCCTCCCACGCTGCTGCCTCTGATACAGAAGGGGTCTGTGTAACTGTGCACGTTACAGCCCAGGCTCATCACTTAACCCTATAAACCCCAGTCTGAGCCCTCCGGATGAAGCTAGAGCATCTACAGAACTGTCTTCCTATGTGAAAGCATTTACTGAAAAATGCAACATTTCCCCTTACCCTGGTGAGGATCTGCCATGCAACCCCATGTGGAAGGAGGCAACTTGCAGATTTGGAAGCAGGTGGTTCTCCCAACTGCTTAAGAGACAAGCACCATCCCTGCCTGCAAGTCCTTCCCAGTGTAGTCATTTGTCTACTGCCTGCCGTGCAGGGTCTAGTTATAGTGCATTACACCTGGTCACTGCCAAAGCACAGGGTGGGACTTGCAGCCCACTGCAGCAGCATTCACCAAGGATGTTACTTCATGATGATTCACAACGCTAGCTCACTGGACGGGAACAAAACACTTCCTCCTCTGGATCATGGGAGTTCTGGAGCTATAAATCCTAACCCCACACCACAGGAAGAGTCTTAATACACAACAGCCATGTAATAGCTCAAAAAAAGCCACCACTGTAAGGTTTGCACGTTGGGTGCCATGGCGCTGTAAGCTGGAGCGAAACACAGAGCTCCCCAATATCACCC